AGGATTGCTTGAGCCCAGGAGATTGAGGTTGCTGTGAGCTAGGCTGACACCACGGCACTCACTCTAGCCTGGGCAACAAAGGGAGACTCTGTCTCAAAAAACAAAATGAAACAAAAATGTGGAGTTTATGATCAAGCCCCATATTTAGAGCTCCACAACCCAAATCTAATACTACTCACCAAACCTCCCAGGACTGTGGTCTAAGCAGAAGCCAGGAAGGTACCAAGAGACTGTGGCCTTACACGGGTAAGCCTGCAAATGGTCTCATAGCAGAATCAACAATGACCATCCCACTCAAAGTAACTTCTAGAACCCATAACTAGAGGAGTTATGGAAATGAATGAATCACATTGAAAGTCAAACCCAAGATAAATCAAGCCCTTTATCATCAGCTTATCTTAGAAGTAACCAGGAGGAAGAAACAGGTTCTAGCCAAGGCCTGAGGTGAGAGAAAGGAGAGAGAAGAAAGAAGGGAAAACAATTCCAGATGGGAATATGGGAGGCTCAGTGAAAAGCAAAATCATTTCAGATGATCCCAAGGAGGCTTGCAATTCTAGTGCTCTGGGAGACTGAGCGGGGAAAATAGCTTGAGCTCAGGAGTTCAAGACCAGCCTGAGCAAGATCGAGACCCTATCTCTACAAAAAATAGAAAAAATTATCTGGGTGTGGTGGTGAGTGCCTGTAGTCCCAGCTACTCTGGAGGCTGAGGCAGAATGATCTCTTGAGCCCAGGAGTTTGCAGTGAGCTATGATGACACCACTGCACTCTACTCAGGGTGACAGAACAAGGCCCTATCTCAAAAAAGAAAAAATCAGCTCTGGTTGTGTAGACATTCCCAGCCCTAATGCCAGCTCAAACCTTCAGGAGATTCTCATGGTAAACCAAACTAAATCCACCCTCTTTAGTATGTCATCTAAGGCCCTTCACAAAATGGCTTCAACTTTCTTATCCAGTTTTGTTATGCATGGACAAGTCCAGTGCCTGTATGCCACTTCAAGTTCTTCCAAATCAAGTCAAAGTGCATGGCACAAGATCTGCCCTGAATATGCTCAGTACTTCACAAACATACCCAACACACACACACACACACACACACACACACACACACACACACACACACACACATCTCCCTTTTCCAAAATCATGGGAAATTGAAGATCTACTCCCAACAGGGCCCATTTGCACATGGACAGGGGCTGAGTAGGGCCACCCCTTTAGGTGGGGTCTGTGCTCTCCAAT